CAAAACGAAGGGGGCAGTGCCTGTGGCTCAAAAGGGTTAGGGCACTGGGCCCCATATGCTGGAGGTGGCAGGTTTAAACCCAGCCCCAGCCAAAAAAAAGGAGGCCAGGAGTGGTGACTCGGCCTGAACATAGTGAGACCCAATGAAACATTATCTACCTACTCTAATTAAACTGTCATATACTAGTCACTTCAAATTAAGTTACACAGAATTTAATCACAATTCACTGAATTCTAGGATATATGTTACCATTAACTGGCAAATACTAACCCAAAATTCTAATGAAAACTGATTAGAAGAAAAACCCATTTTAACTGTCCCGTACTCCTCTCCTATGGCTTAGAATTAAGTCTAAGTCTACTCTACCTTCACACACAACTTACATCAATGTCTGAGTTTTCTGGTGGCCTCTGATTCAGACACTCCATGTCTGCTTCCACAGAAGCCCCTTCGTTCTCCTCAGCTGGCACCTTCTCAACCATGGACGCTGTGGAGATGGTGAAGATGCCGTGGGTGTTGACACGCACTTTGACTTTCACCCTGGATTTTTCTCCATCTTTCTGTGCAGAAACATTCTGAACTACAAAGCGGCCTAAAACAAAAAGAAACTGACAATTTTAGACTTGGACATAAATCGCTTTAAAGGACACAGGTAAGAAAATACAAAACCTGGAAAATACAAAGCCTGAAATTATTGCTCTTCTAAAATCTTCTCCCCACTCTCTATCAAGTTAAAGTCCTTTAATATACACTATAAGTACAACCTCTTTTCCATACATAGTGTACTCAGAATACTTAGGATTAGTCTTATTGTGCCATAAAAACTTTCAAAGGCAAGGGCATTCTTGTAACTTGTATTTAACACTAGGTAGACACTACAAGATACCAATAAAAAAATAGTCCTTTCTTCCTTCCACCCTATTTCTCCAGATGGGTGGGCACAAACTGGACATGAGAATCTGTTAGCAAGCACAAGATGGTATCAAGCACATGCTGAATTTTAATCCTACAGTCTTTTAAGGAATAATGTTCTCCTGATTAAATAATCAAAACACTTTGCAGTTTTAAATAGGAGAGGTAAGCCAAAACCTGTATCAAACGCTGAAATTACTATGTGTAATACAGGAATTCCAGAAGATTACTGAGTAATGGTTAAAGTGTAGACTTTAATCTGCAATGTCTAGGCACGAATTGTGGCTGTGTAAATTACCTAAGCTATGTATACTACTGAGGCCTGAGTGCAGTACAGTGAGCACTTACTGCAGAGCCAAGTGCTAAGTGTAAGACAGCTGCATCCATAGTACAGTTAGTTATTCCAGAGACTGCTAATATTTTGAACTCATTATGTGTAAAGGATTTAACTTGCCTTGTATTTAAAGTATTATCTATACAAACATGAAGTTACAGATTTCATTACCATGGCACTGAGAAATGATAGATGACACCTGATTAACTGCCAAGAGAGGCAACAGCTCTTACTCTGGGGCATCAAGACAAGGCACAGAGCAGCTCCTAAATACGTGCAAAGTTTTAAGTGTCAGTGAAATGTAGAAAATTAGATGCCACGCAAAAGAGCTTGAATTTTTTGTCTTCTACACAATGGTAAATCAATGTGTAGAATCCAGCCTATCAAATCTTACAGTCTACATGCAATGATTTCTCAAACTATTTTCCTAACAAAAATGTATGAAGACTGTTTTAAAAACAAGAACACAGCAACTTTGGTTAAGAACATTTTAGCATTTAAGAAGTAGAAAAGAAAACAAAACTGACTGGGTAGACTACTTCAAACAATTTTCTCTCGTCCCATAAAAGATGCACCTTTAGAAAATAACATATTAGGTACACTGACATTAGAAGTAACAGCCTGGGCTCGGCGCCTGTGGCTCAAGTGGCTAAGGCACCAGCCATGTACACCTAGGGTGGTAGGTTCGAATCTAGCCTGGGCCCACCTAACAACAATGACGGCTGCAACCAAAAAATGGCCGGGCATTGTGGCGGGTGCCTGTGATCCCAGCTACTTGGGAGGCTGAGGCAGGAGACTCGCTT